CATAAGAGAGTTTTAAAGTGCGTCTTGCAAAATTTTTTATTTTTATTTTAAAATACCAAAAATGTGAAAATTTATATTTTTTTAAGAGTTGTACAACGTATGAGACAAGCTAATTTATTAATTGTCTACTTATCAACATATTATTGTTATTTAAAAAAAAGCGTTATTCAATGTACGTGTGTATCTGTGAGAATTCAAATCTTGCGCTTTATCACGTTCCTTTCGGTAACTTTTCACTGTGTGAAAACCCTTCTTGTTAATATCTATACTTAGCCAAAATACTTTTTGATTACTATAACTAGCATGATCATCACTCTCAGTCCCTTAGTTATCAGGTGTTAAAGGCAGGAATCACATTGTCAGCTTTTCTTATAAGTCCTTACTTGCTCTCGGATCGAAACACGTAAGGCTGATCAAAAAATCTTTTTTTTCTCTAGTTCGACATGCTTTGCTACATATTTACCTGATGAAAATTTGTGCCGGTTTGCTTTACTATTTAGGAAAATCAATTTTTATAGATGGTTATCTCATTAACAAAATAAACTCAAGAACGATTGTTTTAAGCGTCAATTTAAAAAGCACAAGTTTTTAAAGTTCTTTAGAATTTTGTTATTTAGTTATACACATCATGCCCTAAGAGATCCGCTCTCTCCAAGTTCAGTTGCGTACAACTTGCATACAATTTAATATTTCAATATGAAATGTTAAGTGAGTAGATAGCAGACAACAACACTTTCTCTTCCTTTGTGTGCCACAGATGCATCTCGTAACGTTACTTGCTTTAGTTTTGATACATTTCCTAAATGCCTGGAATGTGGCCAAGTTTTTGACAATTTATTGTATTATATTTGTGAATAAAGTTATTGATACTTTACAAATTGACATAGCATGATATCAATTCACTACACTTCAATTAGTTATAGCACATTAATTCATTTGAATAATCATAATCAATGCATTACAATGTACAATGTTCATACAACTGTAACTGTCGATGACATGCTAAAACTCTTTCCATTGGGAGTCCACAATAAATAGTGATTTCAGAAATCATCTTCTGAATTAGAATGTAAAAATGCAATAAAAAATTTATAGTGCATCTCATATTTTTAGAAACACAGTTTATTTTTTAAAAGCATAAAAACATTTCCGACTATCTAACTTTGTAATATATTTGACTTTCATTTTTATAGAAATAGAAAAATAAATTATTTTGTATCAAAACCACTTTGTTTAACATTTATGTAATAATGAGGACTCCAGTTTTCTAAATCCTATTGATAGTACTTTAAACTTGAACATATATCAACAAATCTCGTTATAAACATAATAAAAAATGTTAATTTTTTTTCAGAGAACTTCTTGTAATGTTTTACAAAAGTACAGGTGGCTATAAACCACATAGAATAATTTTATATCGAGATGCCGTATCTGAAGGACAATTCTTACATGTCCTTCAGCATGAACTCACTGCCATTCGTGAAGCTTGTATTAAATTAGAGGCTGATTATAAACCTGGTATTACATTCATTGTTGTACAAAAGCGTCATCATACACGATTATTTTGTGCTGATAAAAAAGAACAAAGTGGAAAAAGTGGTAATATACCTGCTGGTACGACAGTTGATGTATGCATTACACACCCTACAGAGTTTGATTTCTATCTCTGTAGTCATCAGGGAATTCAGGTAAGCAAATTGTGTTATAAATTAATTTAATTTGATAATTAATTGTGATATATTATTATGAATTAAAAAGAAATTTCCTTATAACAAAAAGAGTTAGAATGACGAATAACTTAAATGTTCATCAAACAAATTTCATTTATTGTATGTTATTCTTTATATGTAAACAAAAAATCTTTTGATTTTTATTACACAAAACTTTATTTTTTGTAATCATGATTAACTGCATGCATTTTATTAGTCAAGAGCTTGAATGGCTACACATTTAGCATTCAAGCCTCTTAGCTGGAGAAACTTAAGGAGTCAAAAGTTGAAAACCTGTCAAAACACTTCGTGTCTATTCTAATACTTTTGAAATGGACAAATATCCAAGACGCTAAAATAATATGCTAATAGTTATTAAGACTGATATATATGCCATCGTATTAAGTCCATTGTAGTTCATCGTATGTAGATGCGTAGACTATTTTGTCATAAAAAAATCAGTTTTTAACCACTGAGTAGCCTAGGTATGCTTGAGACTACGTGCAATACATCTAGTCGTTAGTAATTTGGAATACATAAAGAAAAAACCGCCAATAGGTAAACGTTATATCTAACACATAAAATAAAATGTGTTCCTTAGTCATTACCACTGAAGATATACATGAAACACTTGTGTTTCAAAGTTATATCACAACAATAAAAAAAAAAAAAAAATCATGCAACTGTAACTGATACCAAATTCAACATAAGCTTATTTTTGTCAAGATACAAAAAATTGCTTTGAGATACAAATGAAAAAAAATAAGCAATTGTTGTTTAATCACCCTGGCTGGAGTTTCCACCTGGTGCGTATTCAATCAGAAAAAACCTAGTAAGTTGCAGGACCTTTATTGTGGTGCTTCTCCTGCTGACGGGTGCTTTATGGTATGTAATCTAATATTAAATATCCATAAGTAAAGCTGTTTCAATAATGTCGATTTATAATAATAAAGGAGTAGCCTTAACTCAGTTGGTAATGTACGAGTCTGATTTTGCTTCATCTGTCTATCTGTTATTTATTTACACATATTACAGAGTTCCATTCATTTTTTAAGGTTTCAATTATTACGAAGTCTTTATTTCATATTGAAACAAAGCATTTGCTTACACGAAGTATTTTTATCTCACAAAGTTCTATATGAACTGATTTAATTTTTTTTTGTATTTGCTTTTCTGTTTGTGTGACAGAGATTCTAAGATAATTTTAATTTTTAGAGTTAAAGTTATTATTTCTATTTAATTTTAAGTATGCACCAATTGAATTAAAATTAATGCGTTTAATGCTAGTAGTTAAAAGTTATTGTTTTTTAATTAACAAATCATGTGTAAAGTAGGCAGCGGCTAACTCAAATATTATAAGTAACCTCATGACAACAAAAATGTTAAGGTATACAACTACCAATAAAAAAGTATTATTGTTTGAATTAACGCTTTCAACAATTCCAATAAAAATTGAGTTGTCGTTCAAAGTTGAGATCTCGCTTGACTGTAGCAAACAAGTGCCTGACTTTGCACACACGTCTAGTGTACTAACATTAGATCTAGGCTTCCAATCATTACACAGAGCTTGCAATTTCGTTACAGGGTTTTTTATTTGAATAACTAATTGTCATTTTACAAAGGATAATTTTTTGGTTGAATGTCGGGGGTTATGGATTCGCGTTAGTGTTAGCTAAAATTAAGTCCAAAAGACAGAAAAAAAAGTGATACTTAGAAGTATAAGAAGTTACCCTAAGCTGGAAAACTAGGACAACAAGAGATGATTGATTGTAGGAGAAAAAAGTAGAAGATGCAACCAGGATGTCACCTAACATGAAACAAGAGATAGACCAATAGGGTTGAAGAATAAAGTATCGGGTGTACATCGAATGGAGGCAGAGAAACTAGAAAGGTATTTTAAAGCAAACAAAATAGACATGTAAAAACTATCTAGTAGTACAAGACTGTAGCACAAACTAGTTCTAGTGGTAAGGTTGTTCCTGATTCAAAGTACGGAAAACAGTGATAGCAGAGGATCAAAAGATAGTATCTTTAGAAAATAAAAGAAATAGTGTTAGCAGCATCAGACGGAGGGCAGAAGTAAGCAAAGGTAACAAAGTCAGGAGCTGAAAGAAAAAAGTAAAAAAGAAAACAAATTTTGAACAAAAAAAACCAGAAGAAAACGTAAAATTTTGTGCGGGATAGTACAAGTGTCATAAACCTACGTTAATCACAGTATTGGGTAATAAGTGGGCATAAGAGAGGTAAGGGTAGTAAAAATAGTAGTTACCCATCACAAGTGTTTTTTTCAACCTTTTGATGTTTACTACACCCTTAATAGAAAAAATGGTGCACGCAGCTGATGTACATTCAACCAGGATAAGAACAAAGAGGAACCTCTCTGAGCTTGGTTCTTGTCCTGGAGACATGTGCTACTGACAGGTAAGATAGCTACGGTTATGTAGCACAAAAGTGAGGTAAAAAAATTTCTATTGCAATGGAAAAGCTTCGTCAGAAGCCGTTTTTACCTACCTGATTGACAAAGAAAATTATTTGGATTACTTAGGCGGCCAGGGTTAGTATGGTGCACTAGCTATGAGCTCTGATTTGCATGGAGTGCTTGCATTCTTGCTGGAAAAAGGTCTCATGGCCTTGTACGTACATTGTGCTGTACACTCTTTAATTTTAGCTGTATCAAAAGCTTGTGCAGTTCCGTTGATACGGAATACCATAGACACTATAGAAGCAACTCACAATTTTTTTAATTCCCCTAAAAGAATTGCGATACTAAAAGACGTCACAATTTCAATCATGGCATGGATGCACCTAAGGCAAGTTAATTGAAAAAGCTGTGTGAAACTCGCTGCTATTGAACTACTACCATTTGTTATTGAAACGCTTGAAAAAATAAAATAATGGAAAGATGGAGAAATTGCAACTGTGTCAAGTGAATTAATAAATGGTATATGTAAAATAAAGTTCCAGGTAAAATAAGATTCTTAATACTAATATAAATTATTTATTTTTAAAAAAATTTATACAAATTTTCATTTCAGTTTTCGACCATTATAAATAACATTAATTTACTATATTTAAGCTTGTACTCATTATGTAAAAATGTAAGGTGTGGCGTTGCGCATCCATTTTGATTGACCAATCCGGAACGCTTCCATCGCGCCGCCATGTCTGTCTGCGAATTTCAAAAGCTTTTAAAATACACAGCATATTAACATCAAGAAACTCGTGAAACAATAAATATTGTTTATTTAAATATTTTCATTCCAGTTGTTTCAGTAACCAAACGTGCAATTCGTAAATATTTACACAGGAAAACTGACTAAATAGGTAATCATTCATCAATTGACGTACATGTATACTAATGCATGTGTCTATATCTATATATATGTCTCACTTCGAGGTAGATGCGGGGGATAGGTTTTAGTTTCAACTTTGGCCACTTCATGTCATTGTATAGGCTCTTCGGCGCTGTAGTAGTCACATCTCCTTCAAATATGGCGTCGTAATGGAAGGAGCAGAACGGCACGAAAATGAGACCTCGGAACGCCACACCTTATATTTTTACATCATGCTTGTAATTGTGAAATTATTCTTATGCTTATTGATATTTGTATCTTATGGTACTTGATATTTTCATTTGTAAAAATCACCTGTTTATATAAAATTTGTAAAAAAAAACCTTTATATTTTATGCCAATTGTTATTGTTATGTTACCTAATTTCTGTAATCCTCACGGTCAATGTTTAATGATTTTTTCCTTATACATTTTATTACGTTTGTTAATAAAAGATTTTATTTTTAAAATACGATACAGATCTTGTGTTAAATAATGACTAGTGTCCACAGCATTGTGATTCCTCTTAGTCGATTATTGCAAGATAATGAAATCGATTTATCTTCGGCAGTAAGTTGAGCAAATTGTGCTCGAAACGCTCTTGAAAAAATAAGAGAGTCACCTGAATCGCATTTCCAAAAATTTTTTTCAACAGTAGCAAAATTTTGCACAGACCATGAAATCGAAATAAAAAACCTAGATTAGCTAAATTACAAATACATCGCAGTTATTTCATGACAACCGGACTGGGAGATTACTAAAAAATATCGATTTATTTACCATTTTTAGACACATTCATTATTTATTTGACTGATAGGTTTTCTAAGCATCAAGAAATATCAGTTTGAAATTCTGTTCATACAAAAAAAAAGGTAATTCTCGTAAGTATGATATATAGTAAATTTGTTTTGTTGTGAGAACATGGTTTACATCATAAGATGTGATCAAAATTTGTTGTTCCTTTAAAAAACAATGACATTCTTGAAAAAGTTGTTAAAAAACTGTATGACCAGTATTACTCTTTTTTTAATTGTTCTGAGAGTGAGATTTTGGGTAGCATCCATTTATGGTAAATTAAAAAAAAAGAAAATATCAATTTGAGGAATCCATAAAACCTGTTAAAGGTATTTTTCAATCGATGTTTTTTAATTTTCTCATTCGCTTTATTATTTTAAACTATCATTTTATTTTTATTTTACAAGTGTAATAAAAAATTCTGTGGATCCATACACGTTCCTTTTAAAGTTTGGTCCGTTATCTCAGTAACAACGGCAACAAATAAAAGAAGTTTCAGCATATTGAGCCGTCTAAAAACCACCAACTGACGTACGCTTCATCAGCAACCAACAACATTCCATCTAGATGAGAAGAAACACCTAATAGCGCTTGACACATATAACCTACAAAACTCTACAACAAGCACGAGAAGGATATGGACCTGAAAAACCAACCTTCAAAATTCATGAGCACCAGTTTCCCCGCAGGTTCTTGCACCTTACAACAAGCCTATGAAGGAAATGGGAGCGGATTATCGGTAATATTGCCACCGAAGTTTCTTGGGCCCAGCTACTGTTGAAATACAACTTCTTTACTCAAGAAGCAAAGAGTCAGCAGATGGCATTGTCATCCTTCAAAAAACATGCAGAG